ATTGAACCAAAAACGGTTAAACATATCATCAAAAGAAATTATGGTTAAAGTTTTGTAAATGTTTTTTCCTATAAAGAGATAATAATCCTATAAAGATCTAATAATCTTATGGACAAATCTTCTTGCTGTCTTGAATGAATAAACACTAAGATAATTCAATAGAGGGATTAAAACTTGCTTGTTTATGAAAATCTCCATAGAATCCATAAATTCCAATTCAATTTTAATGATGTTTTTTAACATTGTATTCTGCTATAGTACTTTGAATTGTTCATCTATTATGGTCACCTGATTGGGGAGCAATACTCTTATTAATAGTAACGGTCTGGTCACCTGACTGGGGAGTGAAGATTCTAAGTGAAAAATACTAAATATAATTATATAAAATATAAATTTTATTTATACTAAAATTGATAAAAATGCAAAACGTTTGCCTAAATTTATCGAATAAATATAATTATTGAATAAAATTATCAAACAAATGTTATAAATATAATTAAATATATATATTTAAATTTGTTTAAATACCTATATAGGTGATTTTTACAATAACAATACAAAATGTAATTATCTATGTACAAACTATTAATTTAATTACAAAAATACGACAAAATATATAAGAATAACAAGTCATACTAAAATCAATAGTACTAATCTAGGGTTTAACTCCGACATAAACAACCTTTTCAAAGTATTTTAAAGAAATGTATCCATCTTGGCTTATATCGAAAATATATAAATCTTATTTAAACTAAATTAACACAAACAATCCATCACAACCTAAAATCAAAGAGCCTTCGTCTTACTTTAAACTACCGTTTTTAGGAAAAATATCGGAATTAACTAAAAAAAAATTAAATTCAATCGTTAAAAGATACTGCTGTTTTGAAATTTTTAAACTAAATTTTGTCTCACTAAAAATTTCAGAATTTTTTTCCTCTAAAGATCCTATTCCTCTAGAGTTCAAATTGCTCGTGGTCTACAAATTCGTATGCGCAGGATGTAACTCCTGTTATATAGGCGAAACTACTCGCTATCTCAAGACACGAATAACTGAACATAAGAGAGACAAAAAATCACATATCTATAAACATCTCCATGGTAATGAAAATTGTTTTATACAATTAAATGAAAAGTGTTTTTCCGTTTTAGATTCAGCATCTAATAAGTTCGAATTAAAACTTAAAGAAAGCATGTTCATAGAATGGTTAAAACCTGGTTTGAACAAACAAGTCAACCATGTCCAAATGACACTGACACTTTCTGTTTAGTTATTACTTTCTATGAAAATTTTTATAAACTTATTCTTTCGTCACTTCCTATTCGTTCTTTTAGTATGACGTGTTATTCTTATAGATTTTGTCGTATTTTTGTAATTAAATTAATAGTTTGTACATAGATAATTACATTTTGTATTGTTATATATATATATATATATATATATATATATATATATATATATATATATATATATATATATATATATATATATATATATATATATATACATATATATATATATATATATATATATATATATATATATATATATATATATATATATATATATATATATATATATATATATATATATATATATATTTATATATAATTAATTTTTATTTCGCTGATTTAACAATTGCAATTTTTCAGGTAAAAAATAAATATAATCGTAAACATTATATATATATATATATATATATATATATATATATATATATATATATATATATATATATATATATATATATATATATATATATATATATATATATATATATATATATATATATATATTCTTTTTTATAAACGCTACTTATTATCATATATAAATGCTATAAACCAGCCGTCACAACTCAGAAATAAGTTACTATTCGTTTATGTTGCGTGTTTAAAACCTTTAATAAAAAGAATAGCATGTTCCGAAATTTTTTCCATTTCGTGAAATTAACTATTCCAATTTACCAAAAATTTTTCCATTTCGTGAAGTTAACTATTCCAATTTAAAAACATCAGTTAAAATAATAATGGTTTCATCGATACGGAAGCGTAGTATTATACTATATTTCCGTATATTATACTAAATTTCCGTAGTACGGAAAGTACCTACGCTTTTATTTCGACCCTCCCCTTTTTCCCGCATTTTGCTAGACGCTTTTTTGAGTACCCTCTACCTCCCTAAAAGTATCTGTTCTTTTAACCTACCTACTCAACATTTTATTTTTCCTTTTAATTTCTTTTTTAAGTGTCTCCTTACTTTTATAGTTAACTCACCGCCCCCATCATATACGCTATTTTCAGATCTCCTCTCCCCATTTGAGCGTACGCACTTTATGGACGATGTTACACCTTACACCTACACACTCGTGGAAAGTGTGGAGTTTTTCTCCTCACCGGTGTGTAGCTATCACTCTTAGACACAAGTGTGGAGTTATTTTGTGTAAATAACTCCACACTTCTGTGCAGAAGACGAGTTAGGAAAGGTAATTGCCACAAAAATGCGCAAAATAACTCCACACATTTATATACAGGGCCGGCGCGAGTAGGTGCCATTACAACTTTTGATGACTAAAGAAAAAAAAAAAAATAGGTCCTCGTTTTCGAAAATTTGACGACTGCCATGACGACATTTGCCGACTGACTGTCTAAATTATCGACGAACCTATATCAAATTTGCCGAATAAGGGTTAAATTTGCCGTTGATGAGGAAGGGAGGGGGTCACGCACCCCCACACACCCCTTTCGCGCCGGCCTTGTTTATATACTCCACACTCCACATATATAACTCCACGCGCAAACACACACACACGCACACACACACACATATATATATATATATATTCTTGGTCAACTGTAATAACAGCAGCAAACAAGTTTTTTTATAGTCAATTGAATATTATTTTTTATAGTCAATTGAATAAAACTTTTATTAATAATACCTCTCTTTATTCTAAAATTTAAAACTTTAATCTCTAATCCTATAAGTTTAATACAATGATTATCAGATTTACTGTACATAACCGTGGGAAACGTTGTTTTAATCATTCAACCAAAATAATAGCATCATGTTGCAATAGCTTTATTGTCTTTTCTTGACGTAATAATTTAAGGCGGTGTCTAATACGTGTATTCTGAACAATTTAGCATATAAAATGGATATTTATATTTTGTATGCATATATGCGTGTATATATATATATATATTATATATATATATATATATATATATATATATATATATATATATGTATATATTTATTTATATGTATATATACATTATTTATAGTGTATATATACTAATATATATGAATAATATACATACATATATATATATGTATATATATATATATATATATATATATATATATATATATATATATATATATATTATATATATATATGTATTTATTTTTTATATACATATATGTATATATATATAATGTATATATATATATATATATATATATATATATATATATATATATATATATATATATATATATATATATATATATATATTATATATATAGTGTATATATTATGTATATATATGTTAATGTATATGAATTATATATAGTGTATATATTATTTATATATGAAACTGAATGCTAGTAAGTCGATGGGTATGCTGATTACAAGCTCTAAAGTGAAATACTCGAGTATTACTGTAAATTATCCTAACGAATATATCATTTTGGAAAATGAAAGAGTTAAATTTAGTGAATCTGTCAAATATCTGGATGTTAAAATTTACATTAATTGAATTTTTCTGAACACATTAAATATATTGCAAATAAAAATTGCTAAGATTACTGGGTATTTTACCAGAGTCGCTAAATATCTGACAAGGTGGACCTCATTTTGAATATTGTACTTCATTATTCTTAGATGCAAGTATAAATGATATGAAAATACTGCAGAAACTACAAAACAAAGCTATAAGAACAATCCTGAAATGCGACTGGTTCATACATAGTAAAGACATGTTGTTTAGATAAGACTGGCTATTTGTAAAAGAAAATATTCAAGTGAAAATATTAGCTTTTATACAAAATACAATTCAACTGCATAAAATAGATGCCTTCCAAGAATTTTGTATAAAAAACAGTGAAGTACAAAATTATTGCACAAGAAATGCAGCAAATTAGCACTTAAAAGTTCAAAAAAAAAAAGTAGACAAAAGTCAATCCTTTGCAATGGTATAAAATTATACAATAAATTACCAAATGAATTGAAGTTGCTTGACAAGAAGGGATTCAAAAATTTAGTTCTGAAACAAACACAAAAAAAGATATGTTTAAAAATAGTAGTTTCATGGAATTTGAACTTTCTTTATTGTGATTTTAATTGTGATTTATATTGTGATTTTAACTAGCATTTAAACTAGCTAAATATATATATATATATATATATATATATATATATATATATATATATATATATATATATATATATATTTAGCTAGTTTAAATATATATATATATATATATTTTTTTTTTAAAAAACAAAACAAACAAAAATCTTTTAAGCTGAAGACGCTGGTCACAACAATCCTGCAAAAATTTCTTTAAAAAATAAATTTAGTATTGAGAGAAAATTGTATTTGTTGATGTTTATATAATAATAATAATAATAGTAGTAATAATAATAATAATAATAATAATAATAATAATAATAATAATAATAATAATAATAATAATAATAATAATAATAATAATAGCAATAATAATAATAATAGCAATAATAATAATAATAATAATAATAATAATAATAATAATAATAATAATAATAATAATAATAATATATATATATATATACATATATATGTATGTATATATGCATTTATATGTAAATATATAAATATATATGTTTTATATATATATGCATATATATATATATATGCATATATATATATATATATATATATATATATATATATATATATATATATATATATATATATGTATGTATGTATGCATGTATGTAAGTATGTAATACATATTTAAATGCATACATAATGCATGTATGTATAAATGTTGTTTACATTAGTACTTTTCCTATAAACAATCAAAAGATTTTGCAATGGGAGATTATAATTTGAACATACAAAATGAAGAAGGTAAATCGGAATCATTAGAGGACAAAAAAAATAAATGGGTTAAAAGTAACATATTAATACCAAATGAAAATGGTGAACTCTATCCAACTAATGCATTTGGAAAGGTTAATTTTAAAGGTGCAACTAGAAGAGCAACAGCTAAAGTAAGTTTATTGTTTGTTGATGTTCAAATAGTGAGTTGTAACAAAACTAAGTGGAGATAAATGTTATAGTTAGATAAATCTGGGTTGTTTTTATTTTTATTTTTTTGACATAAAAGACAATGAACATGCATGCCATAAATATAGGTATGTAGCATGAAAATTTTAAATTAATCATATGCAAGAATGTTATATATCATTGAAAGCCCTTTAAACAGTATTTTAAAGGTGAAAAAATTATTAAAAAAGGTGAAAAAATTACTAGACAAAAGTTATGTTGTTTTTTGTACCAAAATTTTGATATGTGGATTTGTTGAAGAAACTGTGGTCAAAATTTAGCTTTTCTTTACCTAAATGCCTATAACCTGGAATCAAAAAATAGGTGTAACAGTGGGCTACAAAATTAAAAGGTCTTTGCTCACCGGGCATGTCCAGGGGGCTAAAGGGGGTGCCAAACCACCACCTATACCACCTGAAAATGCATATTTCTTTAATTGTAAAGCGTCTTTTTTGTGAAATTAGTCATTTCTGTAATGATTATAATTTGCTCCTACACCACCAACACATATAAAAGGTGTATCTTTATATTAGGGTGGATATGAAGGAGATAGTTAACACACCATATTATCAAAACCAATTCTATCTTATAATACTATCTTTGTAATAAAAAGGAAATCTATTATTATAAATAAAAATCATATTTTACTACTTTGCAATATATACTAGTGGTGAATACATTGATTTAGGAAAAGGGGTGTGTCCTCCAACCTAAATAAAATGAAAAAATACATAAAATGTGATTTTTTATAGAATTTTATATATACATAAAAACATATTTACCACATTACACGATTCTAGATATAAACATATTTTACCACATTACAAGACTCCAATTGCCGGTAGTATCAAGGGGACTGGAGGGGTACCGAACTTCCAAACTGGCTTGTCCACCATGTTTTTCCCAACTCAAAAATGAATGAGGTAGATTTATTTGAGGCAGATTTATTTGAGTAAGGTAGGTCATCCTGGGTGCTGGGAGCAGTATGGCCTAAAATTCTCTCACCTTATTTTTAAAAGTAAAGTATAAATAACTGTAGAGCTTGTAAAAAATGAAAGAATTTAATGGTCTATTCAGAAAACCACTCAAATTTAGGAAAAAGTAAATTATTGAGCTTTTGCAAAAATTATAATATACAATTTACCACTGGCACTAGAAGAAGGCACAATTAAATGTTACACCCAAATAATTATAATTTACAAAATTTAGCTTTAATTCAAAACACTATAACTTCCAAACTTACCATTGGCACTAGAAGTAGTTACCAGTAGTTAGAAGTAGTTACCAGTAGTTAGAAGTAGTTACCAGTAGTTAGAAGTAGTTACCAGTAGGTTGAAGTAGTTACCAGTTGTTAGAAGTAGTTACCAGTAGTTAGAAGTAGTTACCAGTAGTTAGAAGTAGTTACCAGTAGGTTGAAGTAGTTACCAGTTGTTAGAAGTAGTTACCAGTAGTTAGAAGTAGTTACCAGTAGTTAGAAGTAGTTACCAGTAGTTAGAAGTAGTTGCAACTAAATATTACAAAAAGACATTAATAATTTTAATAATTTCCAAAATTTAATTATGAAATAAAAATACTAATTTGTAATTTACAATTAATTGTAATTTACACAATTACAAGTTGGCAATTGAATAGGTCTTAATTAAAGTTAGAAAAAACAAAACCTAATACTGTATAAATTTTATATTTTATTTAAAACACTAAAATTTAAAAAACTTCCAGGTGGTGGTAGAAATAGATCCACTAAAGAATACATACAAAAAGTTTTAAGTTCAATTATTTCAACTTTTATATAATTAATCGACAATCAAAATACTGTAATTTACAAATTTACTAGTGGAGGTAGAAGTAAACGCAACTAAAGAATACATATAAAATTTTACATTAAATAATTTCAAATTTTATTTAAGTATTTGATAGCCAAAACACTATAATTTATAAATTTACTGGTGCTTGTAGAAATAAATGTAACTAAAGAATACATACAAAAAATTTCAAATTCAATTATTTCATTTCTTTTTTAAATAATCAACAATCGAAATTACTATAATTTACAAACTTACAAGTGGAGGTAGATGTAGATACAACTAAAAATTACATTAAAAAAATTATAACTTTAATAATTTCTAAATTTATTAAATCAAAAAACTTTAATTTACATTCTCACTGTCACAAAACATTACAAAGAAAAAAATAGAATACAAAAAAATGGTATTAAATTTTTTTTGCAACTTTTAATAATTTGTAGTTATTATCTTTTAAAATTTCATACAAATTAAACTTTGTATAGCCTTATGTTAATAAATTAAAACCATAAAACATAAAACTCAAGGTCTAAAAGGAAATTATTTTTAAATATTTATAGTTTACGTTTGGAATAAATATTTTTGAAACTGATTTCTTTTTAATGGTTTTATAGTACATGAAACTCTTTTAAATAAAGTAACAAATTACTTTTTATCAATATTTATTGTTTTGTCAAAATTATTAAATATTTATTTAAATTATTAAAGAATATCATATATAACTTATTTTTTATTTAAAAAGTGTGTATTTTTTATGATAAATAACTTTGATATTTTAAATTTTTTTTTTTTTTTTAACATAAATGTTTTTATATATTATGCCAAAAGCTTTAAATAATAACAAATTACTTCTAACTATTGTTTATATTAAACACAATGTATTTAAATTATCAAATTTATAATTAAATTATCAAAGATATAGTTTAATTTTTTTTTATTTATATGAATATGTATTTTTCCAACAACACACACAAAAGTTAAATGATAACATAATGTTAAATAAATAGCATAGTCAATTTATTGACAACGCTATTTATTTAATAAATAGTGTCGTCAATAATACACAAATTACATGTGATTTCTGTAACAGCCTGTATGATGAGCATATTGTTATCTTTTTCTGCCAAAATAGCAGTGTTCCCTAAAAATTATAGATCTAGCTAGATTTAGAGTAACAAAGGTAATCTTTTAGAGTTCAAGAGAAATACTTTTTAAAACCGAAAATTCTTCATCAAAATTTTTTTAAGCAACAATGTGGTGAAACACTTAAGTTGTTTTAAAATTCTTTTATTTGGTGGACCATTTAAAAGAACATATCCAAAAAGAATTTAAAGATAATGTGGCTAATGCTAAATAACTACTATTGAATGTTCTTTTAAGTAGTACTGATCTTTAGCAACCAGTTAGTGCAGGATGCTATACTGGATCAATAAAATTATCTGTCTGTTAGTAAAATTGTTGACTAAGAAATGTGACATTTCACAAGATACTTTGAGTGTTGTAGCAGAAACAGGTGTACTTGTTTTTACTGAAGCAAGAATATTTGTTTGGAAATATGTTTAATATAATACAATTTAAAAAAAAAAGTCTTTCCACTGTAGTGGCTCCTAAAAAAAATCATAATATCTATTCTAGTGTATACCTACATTTTTATAAATTCATTTGATGTTTCTACATAATATAATTTTTACAAATATTGGAATTTTGTTAAAAATTTGTTTAAATTTAGTTTGCTAGAATTGGTGCAAATGAATCTGGAAAGAAAATTTTTGAACTCTTAACAAATATTATGGAGTTAGAACAGCCTCGTTTGTTGATATCTATCACTGGTGGAGCAAAAAGTTTTAGTTTAAGTCCAACACTAAAAAGTCAATTAACTTCTGGACTTGTAAAGGTATAACTTTTTTTATGTTTTTGATTCTTCAAAAGTTATCTAATTCATGTCAAATAATAAAACAAGTTTACCATTCTAAGTTGCTTCAATATTCTGTTGAAATTTTTTAACACAATTTTTTGTGCATCATCATAATATGAAAATTTAATAAACTTTAAAAAAAATTGAAAGTAGATTAGCCACAGGAACGTTTTGTTAAAGTACTCTTTTTAGTAATGTAAAATTGCTATTGTAAATTGGTAATTTAAATTAGTAATTTAACTGGTAATTTAAAATTTGAAAATATCTTTCTTTAAACCCTACAGTTTTAATTAAATTTGAATCTTAACGAACTACCCTATGGTTTGAATCTTGACGAACATGTAAAGTTTTAAACTTAATTTGAACTTTAACACAATTAAATCATCTCTTTTCAGCAAGCACTTTAACCATTTTAAAGGAACCAAGCACACGCTGGTTTGTTCTTTTCTCACCTGTATTAAGCACCTTATAAAACAAATAAAAACATTTATGTTTTATTTTTATTTTTTAATTTTTTTCAGTATTCAATGTTTTTTTATTGTAAAAATAATTTAATAACCATTTATTTTTAATAATTTGTTAAAACTATTAAATATAACTTAAAACAACCAATCAGTTTAAGGAACGTGGATATAGAAGATATTGTTTTTAAGGATGTTGAAATCAAAGTAAAAAAGTCATCAATCAAAGTTTTGTCTAAAGTCTTCAAAAATCTAATGATTTTTAATAGGATGTTGTGATCCTATTTTGTGACCATATTTACATAGTAATTATCATAGACAGTAACTTAAATCATTTTCAAAATTCTGATTTTTATCAGCATAATTAATATTCTAATATTTCATAGGTTGCACAAACTCCTGGAGCCTGGGTCATAACTGGTGGCACAAATACTGGAGTAATGAAACAAGTAGGAGAAGCATTGCAAGGGACAACAAAAGCATGCATTGGAATTTCAACATGGGGAATTATTACCAATGCAGAAAAACTTATTGCTGAGGAAAGCGAGTTTGGTGGAGTAGTTGATTATCAAGTTGCATGTAGTTTGGTTCAGAGAGGTGCATTTTTAGATCATAATCACACACATCATTTAATGGTTGATGATGGTTCTGTTGGAAAGTATGGTAAAGAAATACCTGTAAGGTCAAGAGTTGAGGAATATATTATGAGAGAAGGTTTGTTTACTCTCTATATATTTTTTTGTAAATAGTAAATAATAAAAGCTATTACTCTTTTAATAAAGAAGCTTTTAAAAGTTTTAATTCTTGAATAGTTTTTTTTTTTTTCTAATGTTAATTCACCTTTCCAAGGCCTAGAAAGGATGTGGTGGAGACTAAACTCAGAACTTATGAGACAACAGGTCTGCCACTACACCACTACCAGATTTTAATGATATATTATTATTACCGAGTTTTAATGATGTATTATTTTAACTTTTTGTTGATTTTTAGTTAATGTACCTTCTGTCCTAATGGTAGTAGAAGGAGGGCCAGGAACACTTGACACTGTTCTTGGAGCTTTAACAAATGAACCACCACTGTCAGTTGTTGTGATTGTTGGCAGTGGTCGTGCAGCTGATTTGTTAGCTTATGCTTACAATAGGGTTGTGGATATAGATGCTATTTATGAAACCTGTGACAAATTATTGTTCAATAAAGTAGTGGACCTTCTTCCAGAATTGAAATCTCAACCTAAAGAAAGACAAATGACTTTTTATAGAGTTGTTTTAGACTGCATGAGAAAGAAAGATTTTGTTAGTAAATATGTTTTACTATATAATTTTAATATTAATTATATGCATTTATAAGTGTGTTTGTGTGTGTCTAATCAGGGCCTATTCTAGAAAAAAAATTTGGGCGGTGGTACCCCTCATTTCTGCGGATTTTAGCGGAAAATCAGCATTATTTTCGCAAACAAAAACAATATTTGTTGTGAAAACGTAAAAAAAGGTCCTCAAATTTTAATTTAGGTGGCGCCCAAATACGGTCAACTCGAAAACAGTCTAGAATAGCCCCTGTCAATACTGCTAATACATTGATTGATTTTTGTAGAGATATGAGTAGTGACAGGGACTACTCTAGAAAAATAATTTTGGGGGTGTTAATTCTTTGTGCCAGCCAAATGTCGTAAATATGGACCAATATAGGCATTTCTCAAGAAAAAAAATTTGCTGTAAAAAAAAAAAGGACCTTAGTTTTGAATTTGGGCAGCATCCAAATATGGTTGACACTGTCGAAAACAGTCTAGAATTGTCCCTGGGTGAGTATACAATAAAGTTTTTAGATAATTTAAAATTGTATTATATATATATATATATATATATATATATATATATATATATATATATATATATATATATATATATATCAAACGCAAAATTTTTTTTTGATTTTTTTGCACATATCTATGATTTGGGTGTAAAAAATACACTAAAAAAACCAAACTAATTTAGAGAGAAAATTAAATATGAACAAATCATAATTTGTTAGCTATGTAGTCATAAGAAAATATCAAAGTTTCAAATTTTTAAATAATTCAGTTTTGAAATTATTAAACTTGAATTATTATTTTTTAATCATTCTCTTTAATATAAACACAATAGGTCTCAACAGTTTGAGATCCCTTGAAAATTTTTTTTTTCAATTTAGTTTGTATTTTTTTGTTTTAGTTTTTATTTCTCTTTCCAGTTTATAGTTTGTTTAGTTTAAGTTTAAAATTGTTTATTCAGAGAATTCAGAGATGCGGCCAAGTTGTCAAAACAAAATATTTTATGCATTATCATATAAGGCAACCACACGCATCCTGAGAAGGTTTGATACATTACAATAGTATTTTGACGCAAAAAACTTAGGTTCCTTTGCTTCCCTCAGCTTTATTTTAACATTTTTTTGAATAAACCCACAAAATACCTCATATCATGGGGGTAATTCCATGTCAAATGACCCAGGTCATGTTACCATACATCTCAAATTTTGCTGATTTTTGACAGTTGAGAGTACTTAGTAAAGTAATATTTCTTTTAAATTTTAGTCTTTGCCTCTAAGAAGATCCTGAAATATGACCGTCTTACTTTTAGCAGTTATTGGCCAGGACCCTCTTGTCCCCTTAGAATTGCAGCGTTATTTAGAGGTTTCAAGGTCACATACCTTTAAAAACATTTGGTTTTTTTACTTAAAAATTTGTAACAAGCTATTTTTGGAGGTGACAAATCCAATGTAAAGTTTCTTTATTTTTAATGCTTATTTCTTGTGCATTAAAAACAGGTATATAAAAAATTGCCTAAATTTATTTAAATTGATAATTACAGGTACTTAATAGTAATTTTTTACACTTCTGTGTAAAAACAACCCATGTGGCCTTGATGATATCAAAAAAGTATATATTACACATTTTTCTATATTCATTGATCTTTCTAAAAATATAAACATTTTGATATGGATTTCTATATATTAATAACGGGCTCGGATTCCATTTTTTTGCAGGGGAATTTTGCAATTGGTTTTTCACTAAAAAATCTTTTTGCATTTTCAATAAAGTAAATTTAACTTTAAAAATATTGTCTATAAAAATTTTTAAATGGTTTGCACTTGTTTTGTTTTACTTATTTACAAAATAAAATACAATAAATCAGATGATCTTGTCCTAATACGTAACTCTAAAGAATCTAAAGACCAATTGTTGAATTCTCTTAAAGACACAAACAATCAAATAAAAATAAAATCATATTAATTAAACATGCAGAAAATTATTATCAGTTGTTTACCTAAAGAATATAATGAAAATGAAGTTGTTAGAATGAATGCAAGAAACAAAATTCCATAATTGGTAAATGTAGCAAAAATATCGAACTGATCAGTGCTCTTCAATTGATAAAAAATGTGTTTAGATGGAAAAAATGATCATTTGCACTGTGCATCAATATTAAATGACATTAAGTCTAGAGAGAAAAAAATACCTTGAAAAAAAGATCACTAATTTTAATTATATTTGTCATTTATAGACAAATATTTCTCTCTCACACAAAATTTCTAGATGAATTCATGGATTTACTTAAAACAATTGCATCAACAGGTTGCACATATGTTATAGCTGGTGATATAAATACACATTTAGATACTAAAAAACTATATAGCTAAATCTTTAAAGAAATACTAGATGTACTAAATCTTACACAGCAAGTCAAAGAACTCAAAAATGCGCCTTTGAAAACTAAAAGAGTAAAAATAGTCAAAACAAAATATAGTCAAAAATAGTCAGCTTCTTGCTTTGACAGAGAATATATGCAACATATTGCATATATTCTCTGTCAAACAAAAACAAAGAAAAGCAGAAAAATTGTTTAAGAGAACAAAAAATGAAAAATAACAAAAAAAGAATATAGACGCCTCAGGAAAAAAACAACAATAATTGCTTATATAAAAAAGAACATATTTCTTCAACCTAATGAATAAAAACACTTAACCAAGTAAAAATCTATTCTCATTGGTAAACAAGCTACTAGATAAAACGCAAGAATATGTTTTTCTGTCAGCCAATTCAGACCAAGAACAAGCTAACAACTTAAATAATTATTTTACTGAAAAAATCAGAAAACTCAGGTCTAATCTTCAAATGATCCAAACAAAGTAAAGAACAACAGATTATAATGGTCAGTTTTTAAGAAATTTCAATTCAACAAAATATGAAGAGATTTACAAAAAAACATGTCATTTGCAGTAAAATGTTCTCCTCATGATCCGATTCCAGCATATCTACAAAGAAATATTTTACAAACATTTTTACAAACAAATTATTGGGTTAAAATAGTAAACCTATTGCTAGAATCAAGCAGCATGGATTGTCTTAAAAGAGGTATATTTCTTCTAATAATAAAGAAGTTATTATTAGAAAAAAACAGGTTTTTAATTTTTGAAGGTTTCAGTATCTGTGGCAGACTCTGCCTCAATTTAGTATTCATTATTAAGCTAAAAGAAAGATTAGTTTTATGATTCCCACATTATTTTTATGATTCCCATAAGACTACAAACAATCTTTATATAGAATATCAAAATGAATACAAATAAACATCACTCGACTGAAACACTTTTACTTAAGCTTACCAATGATATATTTGAACTCTTTGATAAACATACACCTTTAATACTAATGTTACTTGATCTAAGTGCTGCCTTTGACACTACTGATCAGCAAAAACTACTTGGGCTATTAATTAGAGAAATAGGTATAATTGACTCAGCTCACAAGTGGTTCGAATCATTTTTAGTTAACCGAACACAAAAAGTTAAAATTGGTAACTCATATTCCATGAACCAAAATGTAAAATATAGAGCAACAAAAGGTACAGTCCTGAGTACAAAACTATTTAATATTTACATAAGATCACTATATAAATATCTGAAAATAATCAATGTCAAAACTTTTGGATACTCAGATAATCATCAAACTTAAAAAGCATTTATTCCTTCATCTCAATATAATGTACTAGTCCTGGATATACGAAAATGTCTTAAATACATATCTAAATGGATTAGTGAGTCATTCTTATGTATTAACCAATCAAAAAGAAAGTATTAATTATGAAACCATCTAGCATTCAAAAACATATTATTAATAATGGTACTTTTGTTAACAAGGAATGCATTAGATTTTGAATTGACTCAGTAAAAAGTTTAGGTGTGATACTTGACAATGAATTATCTTCATAAACACAAATAAATAAGATTATTAAAAACTGCTACAATATATTGACCAATATATCCAAAATAAAACAATTTTCATTGCACAAAGATTTATACACCACAGTATGTTCAGTAATATTTGCACAGCTAGATTATTACAACTCGCTCTACTTTGGAATTGAAATGACGGTATTAAAAAAAAACTGCAGTCTGTTCAAAATTGTGCAAACAAGAACAGAAAATTAAGTAGATTTTTTTTATTATTTTATTTTTTTACATCTTCGCTTTCATTAAAACTGCAAGCAACCACTATAAAAGTTGGAAGTTACTGGAAGAGAAAAGATGAAGTTTGTAGAGCAAGATAACGATTGCCATATGACTTAAAAGATTGACTTGAGTTATATGAATCAGGAAAGCAAGACGAAGGAAACAAATTCCAAAGAACTGATGTTCAAAACAAATAAGAATTTTTGAAGTAGTAAGGAACAGTCACAGAAAAAGGATGAGACTTAATTGAATGACGAGTAACACAAGAATGAATTTTAGCAGATGGCACAAGAGTCGCTAGCTCTTTAGAGCAGTACCCATTATAGCATTGTAGAAAAGAGAATGAGAAGCAACGTTACAACGATGTGATAATGGTTGAAGGTTGTCTGCAAGAGCAGGTCCAACTATGATTACAATGCGTTTTTTGCACCTTGTCTAAAAGAGAAAAGGGCATCGTTATAAGATCCGCCCCAGATATGGCAACAGTATTCCATACAAGGATGGTTTTAAGATTTATAGAGATAAAGAATAGAATCTGAAGTAAGAAAGTGGCGAGTACATTAATGAGATGCAACCTAAGCAGATGCTAATGGATTTGCAATAGATTTGATATACGGTTTCCTACAAAGATCAGAAGTAAGAATTAATCCTAAAAGATGAAGGGTAGATGACTCATTGAGTACATTACCATTCATAAGTATAGACAGATCTAAATTATTGCAATAATGATTGGCTGAAAAAAACTGGATTTTATCTGAATTAATGTTCACCAGCCACTGTAAGTCCCATGCTGCAGCAGAAGTGAGTT